GTTCTTTAAGTGTGTATTACAAACTTTGGTCCAACGTTGGGCCAACATACAACTACCAACTTGATAAGACACATTCTTTAAGGGTCTATTACAAACATCGGGCCAACGTTGGGCCAACATACTACTACCAACTTGTAAATACACGTTCTTTAAGGGTGTATTACAAACATTGGTCCAACGTTGGGCCAACATACAACTACCAACTTGATAAGACACATTCTTTAAGGGTCTATTACAAACATCGGGCCAACGTTGGGCCAACATACTACTACCAACTTGTAAATACACGTTCTTTAAGGGTGTATTACAAACATTGGTCCAACGTTGGGCCAACATACAACTACCAACTTGATAAGACACATTCTTTAAGGGTCTATTACAAACATCGGGCCAACGTTGGGCCAACATACTACTACCAACTTGTAAATACACGTTCTTTAAGGGTGTATTACAAACATTGGTCCAACGTTGGGCCAACACCAGGATCCTTCCTTCCTTGGAAACTAAAGTGAATGGAAGTTGCTTACGTTGGACCAACGTTGTGCCAACATAGGAATTCCGTCATGGTCGACAAGGTTGACTTGGTAACATTGGTCCAACGTTGGCCCAACGTTGTTCCCCCAACACCAACCATACAACCTTTAACAAATGTTGGCCCAACATAGTCATGCTATCTGGGCGTTTCTTTTTTATTCATGGATCTTATTTTTGCTTTCACAATTAGAGACTGTACAATATATCTGTTTACATTCAATGCATGCTTCCAGTTCTTCTCTCTTGTAATTCATATTATACAATTTATACAATTCCTCTTTGGTAAATACTAATACATGTTCATTTCAAAAAGCTGCAAAACATTATGACATTCATGTATTATTTGAATCTTCACTGTGAAAGCTTTAATATAAATAAAAAGAAGTAAACAAAGGGGAGGGAATAGATGAGGGTAAACACAAAAACAAATAGTGAAGTGGGGGAACAGTATTCAGTATTTCAAAATGTATGAATATTTGATTATAATTTCGAAAAAATAAATACATTATAGCATATTACAAATAAATTTCCAGTACATTTCATATTCTGAAAATTTACAATTTCTTAAAGGTATAGCTTTTTCAACTTATATATTCTATCTACAATGCTAGTATTTTTTCTAGCATTGCGATACTTAATTTGGGCACATTTTTGAACCTTAGTACTGGCAAAAATAAATTATTTAACAGTAATTATTATTATATTGTGCAATCTTAACATGTTTGTATTGTTGAATTTCCTGTTTTATTGGATTTTTTTCTTCTCCAAGTAATTTTTTTTTAAAATTTGGATTATTTTCACGAAAAATATCTTTTAAATTTAGTATCTCTATCAACTTCAATACTTCTTGATTTAGGGTTATTTAAGTTTTTATAGTTAATAGAATCTAGACCCTTATCTAAAATTAAATTAAAGTCACCACCTATAATCACATATTGTGATGAGTAATAATATTGTACATACCATATTAAAATCTTAATAAAGAAGGCTGGTGTATCCTATTTGATCCATATATATCTACTAACAAAAAAGGGGGATTGTCTATGACTACATCTAGAATAAGATAATTGCCATTGTCATCTTTATATTCATTTACCAATGTCATGTCATAGTTATTATCAATGGGATTTAACCACTAAAGGTTAAATCTATTTATCAAAGTGAAATAAATATTTGTGTTCTGGTCTTGCCGAAAACGAATCTGGTTCATATTTGGCAATTTGAACGGTATTTATCAGAACACAAGATCAACTTCCATTTATAGTTTGGGGATATTAGTAGCACCTAGCAAGGGACGTCACGGCACTTATACGTCATCAGTCTGTGCTGAAACTTTTAGTTATTATTAATGAGTATAGCAATTCCCCGTGAGTTTGATTTCTATGAACAAAAAAAGCCTTATACTAGTATTCCCATAATACTTTAATCATGCTTTCATCTTTTTTGACAAAGTGTGTGTACTGAAGAAAATACACATCCAATTTTTTTCCTTTGAAATCTTAAAGACATCCCTCTTTTTATTCACGTCTACTAAAACTTGACAATTTAATGTAAGTATTTTAGGAAATTTTCACATAGATAGTCATCCATTCCACAATGAATGCATAAAAAAGTCCCCAACAACAAGAAAAAAAGAGTTGATAAAAAAGTACAAATCTATATACAATGCAGAGAAGTAGTTTTAGAAGCTCAAACACACCTGCTGTCATATTAAAAATGTGCAAATTCACCAAAAACCTAACTTCATGTTAATCTTTTAAGAAAAAATTGCTAAAACTATGGAAAATACGTTTCAGTTGAGAGGAACTCTATATACTCAATTTCTTTTCTATACAGTTCCTTTTTTTGTATTTACAGTTTGCTGTAGTTACCATATTTGTTTTTTTTTCTTTTAAAGAAATATATCTGGAACGTAATTACAACAAAAATTTATCCATATCAAAATGTCATACTTTTCACTATATTAAAATTGAAATTATGTATACACTCTTCTCTGTGTTGAGTGATAAAGTAAAAATTTATCAAAACACACTTCAACACTCTTTAAAACACATTGAACATCAGCAATGCATCTTTCAAAATCTAAAAATCATAAATTTCCAGGTTTTAGACTTCACTTTGCTCTCCATAAAAACTTACGTCCTACATGTTGGGCATGCGCACTCTTCCCATCTTCTTCCATTCTTTCCATTTCTCATCCAAAATTCAACTGAAAATCATTCTCAACCTGACTAATCAAAAAGTGTGTTATTACATTTTGCGTACTTGTCCTTTGCTTAATCTCGACGCAAAATTTTGCAAATCAAAAAGTAATGATCCAAAATATCGTGCTTGATTCATATTTATTTACATTTCCAATGTTTTTGTTCGAGATAAAATTACAGATAGTCAATGTACTTTATTTCTCCATCAATGCACTGGTTCATCGATAGTTGCGGTTAAAAATCACTTGCAGGAAGCGGGGCTTCTAGCACTTGGATTGGCGGAATCCATACCATGTAAATATAAGGAATAACTGTTATATTTTTCAATTTCATGACGATGATCAATTGGCTTGCGTGATAATTTTATGCATAAGGCGTTTATGCAAATTACCACGCAAGCCAATCGATTGATCACATTCACATCATGAAATCAAAAAATAAGACAGTTATTCCTTAATTAAAAACATTTTTAAAAAGTAATCTGAGTTTAATCCATGGAATACTACACTTAAGTGACTTTCCTATAGATAAAATAATCTTAGAGAGACATCAATTTAAGTTAAGTAAACAGGACAGTATAATGTTTGAAAAATTCTTATAGTACCACAATATATAAAGTATGGAAAATTCATAGAATTAAAAATCATTAGCAATCAATGCATCATCTGACATAAAATATCGAATCATTCTTAAAATTTTAGTGTTATCAAAATGTTTTCCTAACGAGGGACCAATGTTACAAAAAAAGATTAAAACATTCGGCAATGTCCTTTGAATCTTTAAGAAGTGTTTGTCTTTAAGAAATGTAAATGTTGTGCTAGTTTTCTTAGATGGTAAAAATTGCTGACATGTCATTGTGTTTGTTTTCTGCATTGTAAATAGCTTCTTCAAGGAATTCTTATTTGGCTTAGCGTGTCTTTCTGCTCTTTTTGTTTCTCGATATTCTGTATAGACGCGTGCTCATCATTGGTGCGAATCGCCATTTTAGAAAATAAGTCATTTTCTTCTTCAAAATGCCACTTCATATTCATATTCAAATTAATGTGACGTATGCTTTCCAGGCTATACGACATAAACTAATTTTTTATCCCATCAAATGACCAGTTACAAGCAAAATTATATACAGGGAAAAGAGGATTTTTTCAAAAAATTTTCATTAGAGTTATTCCTTAACTCTAGAACCCCTGACCCTGGGGTCATGAAGTTCAAAATTTCTGGCACAGGGCTCAATACATATTAAAATCTTGCCAACTGTTTGACAGCTTGAAGTTAAGGAGTAAAAAAGCAAATTCAATAACAAAAACACTGAGAAAAATATTATACCAATTTTCTATCTATACACAATGTAACACTATTTATATGTAAATTTGATTTTTCTTGTTTCACTAATAAAAATTTGTTTTTGATGGTTTACATATTACCATAAAAATAAATGCAATAGGAATTGTCACGTGCAGTGAACCTAATTTACTCCGGATCTTGTTCGTGAGCCGACAGACCATCTTGGCCTTCCTAAAAATCGTCAAGATATTATCAATATTATAATGACAGATTTATTTTTTAGAACTCGCAATTTTAAGGAACAGATTTGAATCAATTATGGTAAGTTAAGTGTATTAGTTGAATGTTTTACAAGATTAAAAACATTGTCTATGCCTTTTTGGACAACCCTCGTAACATAACTACCTTTCTGACATGAGTATCAAATAACAGTATAACAAAGACAATTCTGATAAATTATGTTTCCATTATTTAACTTGTTTTGTCCCCTCACTAAACACATAAGCATCCTTTTTTAGATTAAATTTCTTTCGATATACTTTCAATGTTGAATATTCAAAAAAATGAGATTTATTTGTTAATTAATTTATATGTATCTAATTTGAAAATATTTTGATTAATATAGGATTAATTTACTTTTTGACGTTCAGTGATAAAGTCAAGGAAAATTGCGTTCAAAATTATATAAATCTAAATCTAAACTTTCAAACTAACAACGTTTGTCTAATGATATAATTTGATAGATAACTACAAATGATAGACAAGATTCACAGCGCTCAAGGGCAACTTATTTTGTACATGTATCGTAGAAGATAATGGAGTAACAATATGATATATCACTAATTTTAAAACACTTCCCAAACTGACCAATTATTCCGCGATCTCAATCAGGAAACCATATTTTACCTCCAAATTAGCTGAAATACGTAGTAGATATTCGAAAATGCTAAATAATCAACTTTAATACAGATGGTACATTTTTAAAAAGTGTGTTTGGTTATACAAATTTACAAATATTCTTTTTTTTTTCGACACATTACATACAGTTAAACTTCGTATGTTCTTATCGATTACATGTGCCATCAATCCGATAGATAAACTGATTAACAGGTTACAAATTACGATAAATTTTATCTCTGACTCTTTAAAAGAGTTCTAGTTTCATTAAAATAACTTGTAACGAACATACATTTATTTTACATTACATCCGAATAGTTTAAATGTTAATTTTGTTCCTGTGTATTCTGTCTGTCTCAATTCCAAAAAATATCATCATGACAATATTATTGACCTCTTCTAAGATTTTTGATGCTGCAGTGACAGTCCTTTCTAGTACTGGACATAACGTCCACCATCCACGACTATATCTCCTCCATTAATGTACGATGCTTTATCAGAGGCCAGGAAAGAGACAGCCGTGGCTACGTCTTCCTGCTCACCAACCCGACCAGAGGGATTATCTTTTGCAATCGTATCAAGAAACTGGAACACAGGATATTTGGTATGCATGCAGTAAAGTATTCCATGTATTTCAGTGTTAGAATTCCGTAAAAGAAATTGATATAATTGTATAATATAAAGAATAATTCATATTCATTTCTTATCAAATACTTTCTTCATCATAAGGAATGTATATATTTTTTTTTAATGTTGACAATCCCTATAATTCATATTCTGAAACTTAAAATTAATTAATCTTTCTTAAAATATTTTCATACTTTTTTATATTTTAGTATTTATTCTTACTGCCAAAGCACTGAACTGTAAACTGTTTAATGCATATGATTGATTTATACAATAATTTTATTAATTTTATTATCTTTACGGTAACATATTTTAAATTAGATTTATTAAATCCGGAATGGTAGGCTGAAAGTAGTCATTATTAAAATTGAAAGGAATGAATTCTGTTTGACCGATCATGACAAAGGAGGGTGAGCCTGGTCGACACAGGATGCTTTCTGCTGTATGGCACCTGATCCCACCTCTAATATTTTAGTGGTCCGTGTTTGCTCTGCTCCTGATTTGTACTATGTCAATTGACCTTTGAACCTGATTACTGTTTATTATCTCCATATCCATTCCGTATTTTAATTACGATTTAAAGAAATAATTCTAATAATATCATGACATTCTAAAATTAAAGATTTTGAGATACACGATTCGTCACATTATATAACCTTATTGTACGATTCATCATCCCCCAAACCAGGAACGTTATCACGTCTATGAAAATTGCTTCGAATTGCTCCAGGCCTTTTGATGATAAATTAAAGTACAAAAACTGAATGGACAGAACAAACAAATTCTTAAAAAATGCATAGTTCAATGTGTTTGTTACCTCATTTTACATAAAGATGTTTAAGATTTTCACACTGGAATATGTTCATTTGTTTAAACATACCTTACGGTGTTTGCTCGCACTCCAAAGGGCGCTAACTCTGAAACAGGAGAGTAAAAGTGTCATTTCTGCTGTTAATGTTGTTATGTAATTGAGCTACTTTGTATTGATAATGGCGATTGCAATAACTCGTTTACCCATGCATAAGATTAACATCGTCAAATTTGTAGATTGATTTCATGGACAAGTATGAATAATTTCAAACAGTTTTTGCTTTGCTTGCTACCAAAACATCACACTCTAAACACCGTTACGGCTCCAAAAGTGAAGAGATGAGTTAATTCATACCCAGTGCTAATCCTCTAGTGAAGGCATCCATAGCTGCTTTGTGTGCATGGAATAAGAACAATTTCCAGGGATCTAATTACATGAAAGAAAAGGGTCCTTTTGAAAAATATGCATATATTATTATGAATATAAACGTTTTGTCCATTAAAAAAATCGTTGACTTTAAGAATACCTTCAATGTGCAAGTAGACAGTGTACTTGATATATTGATGATGCAACCTGAAAAGAATGAAAACAATGGAATATCTTTCAGCAATGGCACATCACGCATGAAGTGATCTCGTTCAGAGTAGATGAAGACGTCTAGTTTGTCTAAAAATGAGTGAAAAAAGAGCACTGTGGCTAGGATATAGGCACAAAACAGTTTAGTATAAAAAAAACTTAAATGCATAAGTGGATCACGATAAATTACCTATAACAAACTTTGCACAAAATTGTGTTAGGATTTGAACGAAGTTTGTGCCTATACTAACTAAAAAGGATGCTTACCTATTTTTTTTTACTAAATGTGCATATTTCCTTAAAATATTAACGTTCATTTCTGGCCACACCCTACTTGAGGCATGAATTCAACAAACTTGAATCTACACTATTTGAGGATATTTCCATATAAATATATATGACACATCATAGCTTTTCTTTCGTCAAATTTGTTTGTTAAAGGTTTTCTTACATATGTATGTAATGTAAAACTTTTGGTCTGCCCTACCCCAGGGGGTCACACTTTGAACCAATTTAATCGGCTCCAAAAGTGACAGAGATTCCACATCAATTTTATACCCTGTTCCAATTCTTGATAAAAAGGTTGCTCTGCTTCAAGATTTGTATTTTAAATGGAATTTTGGCTTGAATACCGTGGCTCTGCATATATTTCATGAACACAATACACACCTTTCGTTGCCTTGAGACATGGTATCACCAGCTGTGTGAGAAAATACGCTGACTTTGATTTGAATTCATGGTTTCGTCAAAGTTTTCCTTGTTTCCGTTGAAATTGTGCATATGTTTCCCATACACATTATATATTGATTGTATAAATAAATGTTATCACAAAGTCTGATACATATGTTTCGTATTTGGATATTTTATTAGAAATTTTAAAAACGTTAATAGTAAAAACAATCAAGCTTTTTTTTTATAAACTTGATGACTATGAACTTTTCAATTTTGACTAAATAAAAATCATAATTATTGTTAAGTTCATTATTTAAACACTGAATTGTCCATAGATTTTCTTCTGTCAATTCACGATCATGACAAAAGCACACGATTAGTGTCAGCGGCAAAAAGCTTAAACTTCCATGATCCCACCCCTGAGATGTTATACCTTCATCACCAGCATACGGAGTTTATGTATCTCGGTTAATTTTATACGCAAGAGCATGCTCTGCATTTGAACAATTTCTAAAACGAGGTAAATTATTGACAAACAAGTCGATGAAACAAGAATATTAACAGTCTCTTTCAAATCATCATTTCGTAAGTTCTATGGTCGATACAATGAACTTGTCATCAAATACAGTTTATCATTGAGTCAAATGCTGACCCACCTAGCTTCATATAAATTGTTAGTCCATTATTTATACACTGATTTGACGAGATTTTTCCGTATATTTCCTATGTGGCTTTGTGGTCCCGGAGCACACGGTGGATTCATTTGAATAAATTTGGCTACACTATCTGACAATTCCATGGCCACATCCCATCTCTGATATTTTTGAGGTCCGTGTTTGCTCTGCTTAAAATTTGCATATTTAATGGACAGTTTTGATCTTGCAATATATATGAACACAATACACACCTTTCAGTGTATGGTATCATAGCTGTTATAAAAATGGCAATTGATATTGACCGCTCAAGATTTCGTCAAAGTTATAGCGACCGAGCCTGTTGAAATTGACATAGGCTTCCCCATACCAGCATTATTAACCTTGTATAAAAATAGTTATCACAAAGTCTAGATTTGATACATACATGTATGTTTCGTATTTGGATATTTTACTAGAAATTTGATTGATTGATTGATTGATTGATTGTTCGCACCTCTTTCAAATTTATTCACTGACACGTCACCGAATGCCTTTAGACCTATACTCGGCATTTAGGGCCATACGGACTTCGCTGTCATTACGTGCACAGCGCCTCAAATTCACGCTTACGTTTTATATTATGACGTCCCGTACTACGTTACTTTAGTGCAACCAAAGGAACAGTCACCATATTTTTACGTCAGGTTTGACGCGAACGCGCTTTCGCATCGATATCGGAGGAATATCATGGATATTTTGACTAGAAATTTGAAAATACGTTAATATGATAATCTGTTTGTTCTAATCCAAAGGTTTCATGATAAACAAATACTTGAACATTTCAATGTTGACTCCATAAATTTTTTAAATATTTATTGTTAGGAAAATGATTACTTAAATGCTCATTGTCGGACCACACGTTTTCTTCTGTTATTTCCTTAGCATAGTAAGGAGCACACGACGGGTGTGAACGGCAGAAGATGCTCAATCCAACCTTTGAGATGTTTTAGAGGCCCATGTTTGCTCTGATCCAAAGTGTATATTCTTTAATGGACTTTTAAGCTTAAATACTGCTCGTGTTCTCCATAAATTTCATTTAAATGATTACATCTCTTAACTGACGAAAATTAATTTTTTTCATGCGCAATGTCGGACCATCCTTTACATATTGAAATCTTTAGATTTTTCCGTTTTTCAGATGATGACAAAAGCACACTGTGGATGTGACTGGTCGACAGGAGATGCTTACTCCTCCATGACAATTAATTCATCCTCTATTGGTTTTCTAAATGTCTGTTAATAGGATTAACAGTTGACGGACGGAGGGACCGACGGACCTACCGAAATTAATATTCTTCCAGCTTGTGAAAGTGATTCGATCTCCAAAAAACTACTAGTATATTTTTTTTTGTTTTTATTGTCTATTGTCAAAAACATACAAATATATATGATATTGTTGCGGCAGACTTTAAGATCTATTTCATTCTACGTTAAAAACGCAATGATTATTCTTTACTTTCATATTGTTACAATCTTTAAAAAAATTGTTGACATTAATGAATTACATGTACTTACAAGAACATCAAGTCTTCCAAAATGTCCAATTGTTTGTTCCACGAGCGACTTTCTAAAATCTCTCGAAGTTAAGTCACCAATGGAGAGTAAAACCTGTATGGAATAAGTAAGTAGAACATAAAAAAGGGAATTTTAATTTCAACAACTTTTGGTATAACGGGTGAGTTTAATTTCGCCTTGTAAGGTAAAGTGGACTATATGTTTGGTATAACAAGCAGTAAAGTATTATCTTGCTAAGGATTTCCCTCGAAAACGAGATTGAACTCCCAGCTGACTCGCCAAGAGGTGTCTTGTGAGTCCAGTTCATTACATTGTAACGTCTTGCAATGGATCTCACAATGGATAATGCCACTTTGCAATTTATGTGTGAAGCACACAGTGAAATAACTGCTTTACCAATTTAGGTGTGAAAGCACTCAATAATTATAAAATGCTTGTTAACATTTGTCTTTGAAACATTTTTTAAGTTTTGGCATATATAGAAAAAAGTATCTCGTTTTTAGATAATATTATATTAAAAGATGTTAATAAAACTTTAATTAAATTATCTTTCCATGGAAACTTAAGCGTGAAAACATGAAAGCACTCATGTTGTTTTGCACTAAGTAATGCATTTAATGTACGTGTGAAGTTATGCTTACCATTCTAAATAGAAAAAAAATAAATTTATTCAATAGAAAAGTTACCCTAAATCATTGGTGAGAATCTGATGAATATTAATTAACTGACCTTTTCAGGCAATAAACCCTACTTCACACATTTATCCCTCACCGCCTCTAGATTGACATTATTTCTTCCGGTCAAGGACAACCTTGCTCCGGTCTTGGCGAGATGGACAGCAATGCCTTCCCCAATACCGGAGCTGGAATCTGCAGCATGTTGATATTATGATAAATGTATAATTGTCATAAAAAGTATTTTAATCTATGATTTTAATACTAGAATTACTCACCTGTGATAAGAAAAACCCTGTCCTTATGTTCATCCATGAATCAGCTATCATCGCGTGTCCTATGTTCATGGCATGCATTAACCAGCTATCATTGCGTGTCCTATACAGTATTAACTCTTATAAGGTAGAAACAAACAGGTGGGGAATAAAGTAATGCTTGAGTAAAATTTTAAATATAGTTTCTCAAAGTGAGTGAAGTTTTAAGGATCATTAATTTTCAAAATAAAAAAATGGTGATTTTTAAAACAAAATTCTAAGTAACTTGTTGTAAAAATCTACAATCAAAATTTTTTGGTTATACCTTTTAAATATATGTCTATATTTTTAATACTAATAAAAAGTCCAACAAAAAATGTTTATACATCATTAGATATCAGTTATTGTCTAACAATGACCCATCATTGTTACAATGTAACTTTTAACATATAAAAATAAAAGGTATAGCATCTTTACCTTTTTTTATAGTCAAAAATATTAATTTATAGAGAATTGTTAGACGGCAACGCCACTGTTATAGGTATTGTTGCGAAGAATTGATTCTTCATGGTAATTAATCGTCGTTCTGATTGGTTCATCGGCGAAATTTCTATATTGGCGCACACGAGATATTGCCTTTGATGTTTTCAATGATATTTAAATTTTGTATTGTGATAACTAATTTTTGTGATGCCTTTTTCTCATTTATTTTTTTTTTCATAAATCACAGAAACAAATTAGAATTGAAAATGTATTTATTTTGTAATACACATTAAATTTTTGTGATATAATAATGACCCGGATATATATCAAAAACATATACTATCACTTGTCATCTTAACACATCTCTACCTTTTAAAAAACATATATATAGCTATTACTTATATTCAAAGCTGTGTTATTGTGCAAATCAAAGGTTTTTCTTTAAAAAGGTATTGATTATATGTTGACATTCTCTGCCACTGTTTTTTAATTGTACAAGCCAAACCGCTGTATTGATATGTTGATTTGTTTGTAAGAATGTTGAAGGTGAAGTGATTTCAAAATAAATTTATAAATAAAAATGTTAATTGGTAAAACAAATGAACATATGTTACGTAGATTCCAAAGGTGGTATCTGATGCATATGAAGAGAAAGCATTTCCTGTTAACTCCGTGATTTTTGTGCATTGATCAGGATGTCAGAACTTTCAGTAGTCAAATTCAGTACTATTAAAGCAAAAGTCAAAGAATTAGTTTAAAACGATACAGAAAAAACACCCCCCAGTGAAAGGAAAGCTTTATTTGTTAACAACATGCCGACTTTTAAAAGATCTTTAAATTACGGTTACAACAAATCATCATTTAGATGCATTCCCCGCTTAAAAATTGTATTAACTTTTCTAAGCACCCGAGTAGCCAAATAAGTTGGGAGATATAAACAAAAGCATGTGATAGTGGGATATTACTATATGAATAAGGAAAGTTGAAGATGGAAAGCTGAAGTCATCTGGTTTGTTATACAATTAAGTTGTGGGTTATTTAAAATCGTCTATAGTCAGTACAACATCCGAATATGAAACAGGTGTTACAGATTCTGTGCTTTCTTTTATTTGAAGTCCACCGGGATACATTGAGTCGAAATTGGAAAGAAAACATCAATGCAAGGAAAGCAAAAGATATTCAAATCTGAAATAGTGATCATTTTATATCAGACTGTCTCCAAGGCAAAATAGATAAATAATTTTTTAAGAATTAAAATTTTAATGCATTTGCTCATGAAATGGATTCATCGATATTATAAAGTCAAAAATAAATGATAAGAATTTATTGTCATCAAAATGAAGATGTAGACCTCCACCCCTCTCTGAATAATTGTCACGTGATGATGTCCATGGTTTCTGCAGAGTAGGCTATGCAAGGCGCGGTACAAAATGAAAAAAAAATGTCCTTGTGTCATTCGCAGCTGTATTATATTTAAAACAATTTTTACTACTTGAACTTTTCAATTCTAATACACGGTGCATTTTACTATGTCATTATTATACGGAAAATCATGTCGATTTCCTTTCATATCTTACAGACTCACAGTACGTATTGTAAACTCTTCATTTAAGTATAAATCATCAATTTCCTGATGAGAAATGATAATAAAATTAAAACACGATAACAATTATTTATACTTAATTTAAAGCAATTTTTAAAAATATTTTACTCATGATTTTATACATGTTATCATTTAAGTATTATTTTACTGAACTTATAGAAAAGTAACGTCTCATATCCCCATGTGCACTTTGTGACACAACCACAAATAGATCGGCCACTAATAATTTAATTAATGAACATCATTAAAAGTTATTTTTCAGATGCTTAAAGTTATAATAAACTTTATGAAATAAGGAGGTTTTCACCGAAATTTGTCATTTCCAAATCAGGACCAACTGAAGTCCCTATTTTTCTCTAAATAGATAGGTTATTTTCTCTAAACTAAAAATTTAAAATAACTTTAAATATCGCTTACTTCCTCTGTATTCAATTTTGAATGTTCAAGCTTATTTCGTGCCATTTGTTCTCAGAAGGACCTTTTGCGTTGGCCATGCATGTTTTCCTGGTACTGTGAAAGTATATATCTATCTTCTTCCTTAAAGAGAACTACTTCCTTTGGTCTGTTATTATGCTATATTAGGTACAAATATGGAATCACATGAAAGAAACAGGAAACACTTGATGAATTCAATCCACTTTAGTTTGAATAAGTGTTTCACAGTATTTTCAAGGATGGTCAATTAAACAATACATGAGAACAAGAACATGAAGTATCCGTGAAATGTACATGTGCAAGCAAGTAGTATAAAATAACACTTGACGATTCACGAATGTTATTTCACTTTTTCGTTAATTTACAACAAGAATTAATCATACCTCATTACGAAACTAATTGTATTTCAGGAATCATATATCTTTCACATCTTTTTTGTTTTCAAATATCAGTAGTAAAAATCTATTTGGTTCTTATTCTTCTTATTCATTTGCAAACATTTCTTCTTCACCCTTGTTAAATTTGTACTTAGCATTCAACATAATGTTATTGTCATATGTAATTTAACTAAAAACAAGAAGTACTTGTGAAGTAAGATTAACATAATAGTGATAAGAACAGATTTTCTGTTCTGATACTGTACATATGTGTTGTGATTTTTGTCTTTCTGGCAGTACTTTGTTTCGCTTAGTGCAACTCATCTAAATCAATTGTTCTGATGCAAAACATTATATGTTTCTTGTTCAATGTTATATTCATTAATAACAACACGTGGCCTAACGACAGGATCTAAGATCATTTGTGATTCCCTGACTGAGTCGTAGCTGACATCCTCATCCGCCATCTTGTCCTCGGTAACCATTTTATTCACAGATTTGGCTGAAAATAAAACGTTTGGAAAACGTCACCAAAATAAATATAGGATTACTTCCACAATTACACTAAACCATTTAACAAATTAAGTATTTATTTTAATTTTGCATACTTACTTTTATAGAGAGAAGTCTTTGGTTCAATAGGAATAGGTCTCCTATTATATAGAAAAAATTGATATACAGGTTCAATTGAGGTTCTCTTTAAATAAGATGGAAAGTATCTTTTTGCATTATTTTGTGTCAGCCACCTTTGATACATATTCTTATAAGTCATTAAAGTTTATTCATTATATGTTTCTAGAGATATATACCCTAAATTTTTGGCGAGATCAATGATAAGAAATATACACTTAAGAAATAAAAATATACTCAGCGAGCAAGAAGTTAATAATATATAATACTAAATAAATATCATGCCTACTTTGGACGGAAGGGCAAAAATTAAACCTTCCAACCTTTTTTTCCAAAATTGTGATGTAGATAACTAAATAATATAAGCAAGGTAATACCGGGTAATAATTGGGTCAAGTCTGTAGAAATAGCGTTTTGAAAGAATTTTAAAAATTGCCCATGGTATCCATGGTAACACCATTATTAAGATAAAAATACAGTATAGAATTATGTATCTACTTTTGGGGGGGGGGGGGGGGGTGGTAACCAATACTTATTTAAATTTGATTAAAACTGTAAGATGTCTATATAGCGTTTCGACAGACGACGAACATCTAAATTTTGCAGAGGCTCAGCTGGTCTCTTACCAATAGAGCTACAAATGACTATAAAAAATCCTTACCAATAGTGTTTGACGATAAAAAATATCAATATTATCAAAGAAATCCCAAAGACAGGAAGTAGAATTGCAAACAGCAAAGGTAAAACGTCCTGTTTAGAAAATTGAATTGATGTCGTCTCTGAAACAGAGTATTATAAGTATGATTAAACAATCAAACGTAAAATAAGTTTTTGAGAAAAAAGGCAAAGAGTCGTCGTTATAAAAAAAAATACACAAAAATACAAAACTAAGAACAAGGCATACAACACGGACCTTTGAAATTTCTAGAGGTGAGATCAGATACATAAGGATGGTAAGCATCCTCGGTCGAAAGGTCACAACACCGCAGTCCAGGATATTTTTCATGTGGACTAGAATTTCTGAGATAAATTTAGCATAAAAACCCTAACAATTGACATGACCATGAAGTCAGTCAAATTAAGAACCAGTGATAGGGTAAATTTTCTTACAAGGCACTAGTAGTTATAAAAACCATAGACTGTATAAAATCTGACATTAAACAAGGTTGTTAAATTCACTGTTACAACAACTGTCAGTAGCTTGTCTTGTTTTAAAAAGTAAGAAGTTGACCACATAACAGGCTTTTAAGTATCGAATAGCTTGTCAAAACGTTTAATATGTATTTTAGGTTTTGGTTCGCCATGTTTGTCTGTTGTTTGTAAAATGTTTAAAATAAGAAAACGATGTGGCAGCATTTGACTGAATGATGAATTGTGTGTCAATAATTAACCTCCGTTTAAAAAGTGTACATACCTAGAGCATGCTTTTGAGTATCGAATAAACTGAGAGATATAAACTTCGTATGCAGATGATGAAAGTATGATAAAATTGCTGAATAAGTGAAAGTGTTGACGATTGAAAAGTTAAAGTCATCACGTTTATCATAGAGCTTGGTGGTTATATTATCATTAACGTCTTCTTCCATTTTTAAACAAAATATTAAATAAATCAAAATATTTTGTTAAAATGTTTTCAACAAAATAATTTTACAAATGACAAATGACAAGGTAAGTAAATTTACGAGTTCCATTTTTATTGAAAAAGCAGCTGTCACTGATATCAAAAAGCCTTGAGTTTAATTTATCGTGATGAATGGTTGTATATAAAATAGAAAAGTTGTAAGATTTTAAGGTGTTGATTTTGGTCAAATGTTGCGATTTCTAATTTTCTAGAAGTTCCTTGGATCTATAAGTATCCTCATAGGAATTACCCAATTCTCGAATATATTGTTGCACTGTGGCAATGATGCACTTTGAAAAATTACGCACTTTGAAAGAAATTTCCAAACTGCGTTAAAAGTGGGATAAAATTAAAGCACTTTGAAAAAAAATCAAAGTGCGTTAAATTAGGGACAAAATCAATGCATTTTGAAAGTATTTTTCAAAGTACTTTAAAAGTGTACTTCAACATTTTTTACCATCGACACTCTTAACTAATTTTAAAAAATATGTATACATAAAAAAGTCTGGACGTTGATTTTAGTAACAGACAGCATCAATTTTTAGATTTCTTTCGATAAACTGATGAATTTATATACCCTCATCGAGAACGAGGAAAGGACAGGTAAAAGGTATTTCAGTGAACTGTATCTTTCCTCCCCAAATACCCAAATATATATTTACATAACTGTTAAGATACTGATGAACTTTCTTTCAATAAGTTTGAGTTAACGTTAAATAGATGAAAAAATTGATATAAGCCTTTTTGCCAAAAAAAAAACCGCAACCCTATTATATTAAAGAAGTGAGCTCGGGGGATATCACTGATCTAAGCAATAATAGCCAACTGGATATTCTTTGGCCAAAGAAGCTTTACAAAATCAAATACAATACTATACAATGAAAAATCAAACAAACAATTTTTTATTAAAAAGGCATAAATAATTTTTTCCATACATTTAAAAACAAATCAAAAAATTAAATCAAAGTAAAAAAAAAAAACAGTATATATTTGGTAGACAGCATTTTTAATGCTTCTTAATACGGGTCAAAAAACTAAAAATTGCCTTCATATTTGGGCAGAAAATTACTTTTAATTAGCAATGCTTTAAATAAAACTCTTTTCGGCCCCTACATTTACCGAACTTTTTAAAGACTGGATAAAATGAAAATAAACAAAATTTTGCTATTAAACAACCATTCCTCCATCATTTCTAAAAAAAAAAAAAATCTTTTTAAAACATTCACGAGTACCTTTGGGAACATGATAACCTTTAATAATCTTAAAATGTCTATATCCCAGATGCTGAAATAATTATTAAATTATTAAAATTAGCTTCAAATGATTTTATATCATACCTTAAATTTGAAGAATATTAACGAAGACGTACACTTTTTTCAAGGTGCGTTAATATTGTCGATATCAACGCACTCTGAAATTTTTTTTTTCAAACTGCGTTATTGAGTTCCAATATTTAACGCACTTTGAAAAAAAAAATTCAAAGTGCGTTGTAACATTGCACAATATTCTTGAAGTTTCTTCTTCGATCACTACTGTTAATATTTTAGTGAGGCGTAAATAAAAAAGTTTGGCTGAACATTTACTGAAACCCCTATGTTTTTTGTTTTTTTTTTGTTTGTTTGTTTGTTTTTTTTTTTTTTTTTTTTTTTTGCTTTAAGGATTTTTATCAAGTTTATGAATTTTCAGAATTCAAAATTGATATGGTAATTGAAATTCATTTCGGTCGTTTGGGATATTAAAAATATATCAGAACAGACATATGATTTTAAAGAATTTCTTCCTTAGAAAGGGAATCATGAGTATAAGTTGGATGACCACTTGTAGAAATAAATGCAAGTCCTTCTAAAATACATTTTTTTATAATGAGCCTTATACACGAAGACAGTGTTGTTACTTGTCATCAGGGACCAGTACGTACTGATCATGCAGTCTTTCCTATATAGTCCAGGGTATGATGAAATAAATATATAAACTTACCAACAGGACATGAACAGTTAAGACTATTGCAGTCATCACAATCACACCTTGTTAGGCATTTATAACCACAATAACCAATGGGACAGTCTCGAGAACAATGAACTCCATAACTACCATTGCAAGCTGAAAGGACAACGTAAGGAAACTGGTGTCAAACCAATTGATATGTAATTTATTTTTATTTTTATAATTGTCAATTTGCTCTTAGGAAGGATTGTAAGGAATCATTCTAAATGAACTCATCTTTATGTTTTTTTTATTCTAGCCCTTAAAAGAACTAAAACTGTTTTGCTGTAAATATTATTGGAATGTTTCCTTTTCTTGAGTTATGGTTTGAACTCATTTTATCGCCCCCCCCCCTCTCTCTCTCTCTCTCTCTCTCTCTCTCTCTCTCTCTCTCTCTGATTAGGATATGTATTTATGCTAGACATAACTTTGATCAAATTTATTAAAATATAATAAGTACACCATCGCTACACCAGCAGGGGTGTACTTTTGTAAAGCGTTACAAGTAATAATACCACATATAATGACGATATTTATTTTTACAGTTTGTATTGAGTAAAATATTCCATATTTGTCGGTCATAATTATTCTAAAAGAATACATACCAATGCATTTATCTTTGATTTTTTTGTAGTTGGTGCAACATCTTATGGGTCTATTGGTAAAAAAACTAAATTGAGAGAGATTTACATTTAATATTACATTTAAGGACACACACAACGTACTTTACCTACTGATCATTTTCAAGAATTTCTTTTATTAAAGTCACAATACCATTAGGTGTTCATAGACAAAACATTCGCATACATTACCAGGTTTTTTTTAAAGATATCAATTGAAGAAAATTCTTGGATGATTCAAAGAAAAATGTATAAAAATTTATGAACGTATTTCAGATAGTTCTTCTAATCCAAACTTATTTTGGAAGAAGTGTAGGCCATATATAGATATTAAAATATAGTGCTCACACAGTTCCTTCAAGCATTGGAACTCTTCAGCTACATGGGAAATAAATCAAACTCATTTACAAATAGCTTCATTTCAAAATCTTAGTAAATAATTAAAAATTCAATGCTTACTCAGGTTCAGTTGAACAAACTCCGCCATTTTCTGTTCTAATAGTGCAAACAAAATGCAAAAATAATGATGTTTGTATGATATTTTTCAACATTTGTTGTTTTAGAATGAAATATGATGCTCAAGATAATGAAGTTATGAATTCCACGAAACATGTAATACCCTTATGATCATTTACTAATTCTTTAAAAGTTTCCGGGATTTATTCCCGAACCAATCTAAAGCATACTTGCATTCCTATATTAAAAGGGGAAGCGTTTGAACGGAATAACATTAATATATAATGAAATGTAAATGAAAAGAATTTAGAAGAAAATTTATTTATTCGAGAAAACTAGTCTTCAATACTGTTTTTCAACATATCTATGACGGTTGAATCAAATTTTGATGACTTCTTACTATTTTTAATTAATGAAAAAATAATGATACGCACTTTCTGTTTAAAAACCTATTTTTAGGGTATTTGATACGCAAATAGCTTATTTAGTCCTCGACTCTAGAACAAACGCTGTAACCACTGCGACATGCGGGCAATGTATGTGACGATAACGAACAGTACGTGATCGAGCTAAAATAAAATTTTCTAAATAATACAACACCATAAGGTGTGACAAACGGACAGACAAATCCGGATAAAGTGAGTTCTGTGTCGCTCTGCTTTACAGGAAACAGTAAGGAGCTGATCCTTACAAAGAGTTCGAATTCCACTGCTGGCCGTGGAGACCTATCCTTCGATCGGATTAAACTTATAAATCAAGGTCGCAGGAGGTGTTGGCACGAATAAGATCCTGCATTGCTCAATGACACCGAGAGCCGAGTATGTCTAAATTTGCATCCTTCTCTCGACAAGTGGTATCTATAGACTTGATATGAGTAAAAGATTTTGGACATACACAAGGGCAAATAAACAAAAAAAATATATCGGCGATGGAAATACTTAACGGAGACTTCCGAGTATTCCATTCCGAGGTCTCTAGTTTTATCCTTTATCTTTAACCCCATTCGGATATTGATGTCTCAACCACTGTCTTATTTTGTATTGAGGAAAATTTCGAGGAACAAATGAGTATTTAACAATAAAGAGGCTCAACCAGAGACTTCTGAAACCACTTAATTGTCAAGAAAAAGAACTTTTAAAGCGAATGATGTCATTTTAAAGTAGCTTAATGATTGATATATTAACAAAATAGAAATTGAAGAGGGGGTACCTGAAAATGAGTTAGTTACCTTGTGATAAAAATGAGTAGGGGTGCCTTTGAAACAAGTGCCTTTGAGTCAGATCGTGAACTATAACAATTTCACCATTGCATTACTTTGCTCAACGTTACAACGATGGAAAACAATGAAAAATGTGTTTCAAACACCCAGTCAACGAACTTTTAAAAAATCTGACAATAATATATTTTTTTAAAAATGTGTGATAGGGTAAAATAAACACCGATCCCCGGAAATACCAGAATTAGGATCAGGTGCCATGAAGGAGTGACATAACATTAAATAGTGAAATTTCGTAAAAAAAAAAATTTTAAAAAGCCTAGCAATAGTCATAAAACAAGTCAACCAAAATATTGAAAATAACAATTAATGAGCAACGAACAATGCGAATACTGTTCCTCTATTTAGCTATTAACAGCATTATAGTTTCTCTTGTGTGTACTGGTGTGTTAAAACATTAGATATTATTACATGAAATTATTTTGTGAAATTTCTCTCCAAACGTTTTGTTTTTGACGGGGGAAGGAAATTTTTTAGTGTAAATTCAAATAGGGAAAAACTATTTTAGACTCTATTTTTACTTTATTGTCACGTTTAAACTTGCAGAATGTCTTACTTTACGGCAAATTGTTCAATTAGCGAGTGACACTCCTCGAACTTTATAATATAGACCACCTTACCACCTATTCAGTGGAGCAGGTGGAGTTTAAAGCAATTTCTTTTTTAAAAAGTTTTAAAGATGTTTGTATACGTAAGCGATACTTATTAACTCATTTAGCTTCACCTTATCAGTCTCAAGTAAGTAAAGTAAATCAATATCAATTTCTTTAAGTCCATGCTGAGCTTAATTGACTGTAGTCCAGTTTGACTTCGCGAATTCGATTCTTAGCATCTGCAAGAATGATTTTTGAGTATCAACCAAGAAATTTTACTAATTATGTTCCCCAAACGAAGTTGGGGAACATATTGTTTTTACTCTGTTTCTTATTATTATTATTATTATTATTATTATTACTATTATGTTCCCCAAACGAAGTTGGGGAACATATTGTTTTTACTCTGTTTCTTATTAAGGTCTTCCGTTTCAGACGGAAGACCTTATAGTGATTCTACTGTTTCTTCTTTTTCTTTTTTTAAGGTCTTCCGTTTCAGACGGAAGACCTTATAGTGATTCTACTGTTTCTTATTATTATTTTTTTTCCCTTTTCTTTTTTTGACGATTTCTCAGAGATGACTGGACGGATTCTCATGAAATTTTCAGAGATGATAGAGAGTCAAAATATCTTTCAAATGCAGTTTCCAGTTTTTCAAAATTCACTTCCGGTCGTTAGATATGTCCGATTTCCTTTTTTTCAAAATTTTTTTGTCCCAGTCATATCTCAGAAACGGTAAGAGATGAAGACACCAAACTTATATGAGTAATAGATCTTGATAAGTAGGCAAAACCATTTGGGTTAACACAGTTCGCCGTCACTTCCGGTCGTCACAGGAAGTGATAAAAAAAATTGAAAATTTCAACTTTTCTTTTTTGAAACATTTTTTGCATCACAAAATAGAATTTAATTTTTACTTTCGAAATATGTCAGTCCCACCGTAAACAAAAACGACGACTTCCGGTTATAAGAGAAAAACTACAAAATTTGAGTATTTTTCTTTCCCATAAATATTTTTTATAGATAAAGTATTTTTAATGATTTTTGGATATGTAATTCAGACTGCAAATGTCTACAGTAACGTCAAAAATCTTTATAAAATTCACTTCCGGTCGCGTGATTTCCTGTCCTCAAAATGAGAATCGAACTTATCATAGCTAGATCTTGTAAACGGAAAAAGATTAAGACACCAAACTTATACAATTGGTAGATCTTGATGAGTAGGCAACTTCAGTTTGGATTAGATTGTCCGCCGTAACTTCCGGTTGTCACAGGAAGTGTTTCATAAAATCAAAATTTTCAAATTTTCTTTTATGAAACTTTTTTTGCATGACGTTATAACATCTTATTTGTATTTTTAAAATATATCAGTCCAACCGGAAACAAAAACGTCAACTTCCGGTTTTAAGAGAAAAACTGCATAATTTTAGTATTTTTCTTTCCCCTAAATATTTCTTAAACATGACATATTTGTAACGATTTTTGGATATGTAATTCAGACTGCAAATGTCTACAGGAAGGTCAAATATCTTTGTTAAATTCACTTCCGGTCGCGTGATTTTCTGTCCTCAAATTGAGAAGTTATCATAGCTAGATCTCGTAAACGATAAGAGATTAAGACACCAAACTGTTTCAAGTGGTAGATCTTGATGAGTAGGCAAAACCAGTTGGGATAACATTGTCCGCCGTCACTTCCGGTTGTCACAGGAAGTGATCAAAGAAATCAAAAAATTCAACTTTTCTTTATAGAAACTTGTTGCATCACATTATAGCATCTTATTTGTAGTTTTGAAATATAGTATCACAGGAAACAAAATCGACAACTTCCGGTTAAAAGAGAAAAACTACATACCCGGTAATTTGAGTATTTTTCTTTCCCATAAATACTTTTTATAGTTAAAGTATTTGTTATGATTTTTGGATATGTTATTTGGACTGCAAATGTCTACAGTAATATCTAATATATCAGTAAAATTCACTTCCGGTCGCGTGACTTCCTGTTCTTAAAATCAGAAGTTATCATTGCTAGATCAACGGTAAGAGATTAAGACACCAAACTATTAGGGGTTGTAGACCTTGATGAGTAGACAAATCTTTGAGTTTAAGATCATCCACCGTCACTTCCGGTTGTCACAGGAAGTGATCAAAGAAATCAAAATTTTAAACTTTTCTTTATGGAATCTTTCTTAGTATTACCTTATAGCTTATTATTACTAGTAGTTTTGAAATATGTCAGTTCCATTGGAAACAAAAACGACGACTTCCGGTTAGGAGAGAAAAACTGCATAAATTGAGTTTCTTACTATCCCATAAATATCTTTTATAAAAAGAGTATTTGAAATGATTTTGGGACATGTTATTCAGACTGAAAATGTCTAGAGAAACCTCAAAATGAGACCTTTGACCCTTACTCAAAAAGTAATATAAAGAAATATTCATTACCTTTTTCTAGATTCAGCTTCAAGTGTTTATCTCAAGTTTACCTTTCTCTCTCTCTCTCTCTCTCTCTCTCTCTCTGATGACCTTGACCTTTGACCTTGATAAATGACCTTATTCTTTGGCCTCACTGACCCAAAGGTCACAATCAAGCTTACGGTCGTGGAGGTATTTGCAACTCTTACTCTAACAAATGCTTATAAAATATCCCCTCCTTTCTATAAAAACAAAACAAAACAATCAATACCAACTTAGAAAAAATGTCTACAAGTCAAACGAAACGAAATATCGGCATAAGATTCGTAATAAAAGAAAGAAGAGACCTGAAAGAAAGTGTCCTGAGAGTTTTAAGGTGAGTCTCTGAAGTATTTTGAAATTCTAGTGAATATCGGCAAAATCTGCATTTTTTTCTGTCTGAAATTAAGTTATTGCTTAGCATAAAAATTAATTAAATTATTGGATATTTCTGCAATTATTGTTAATATCATTCGATTCTCCTGCTCCATTAGGACATTTTAATACCAAGTATTCTTGCTTTCTTAGGTATATGGAATTTATTTTAATTTTATTTAGATTTAAATATGAATCGGCTGAAACTCGGAAATGACGATTTTTCATATCAATTAAATTTCCAAGCAATTGAGATAGGTCAATTGCAGTTACCCCGCTTGATACGATATGGTGTTGAAAAAATGCCCATGACTCACTCACTGTTTTCCGGCATTTTGAATTTCCTCTGCAACTGACCACGTGTATTAGTTTCGCTTTACAACTCTGTATATGCTAAGTGTCAATGCTTCACTGCAAATGTGTCCCATAATTATTCTAATCATTTTCCTACATACAATATC